CCCTGCAGCCGGGCAGGCCGCCCTCCAGCCCCCTCCCCTCTGCATCTGGCCGTTGCAGAAATATCATTGCCAGATGTTTAGAGCAGAGGCCAGCACGGGCAGGAGGTTAACCCCTTCAGGCCCACACCGCTCGGGACTGGGGCTGGTGTGGGCAGCCAGGAGCCTGTGCTGCAGGGCGCAGGGCTGCCGAGGCTGGAGACTCCACGTCTGAGCCCCTCACTCCCCCACTGCCCTGACATCCCCTTGCGCTCAGTCCCAGATCCACCACCCAGACTCACTCAGGGCAGACACAGCTCTGTCCACAGCTGAGCAGGGCCTTGGGGCCAGCAGTGGAAGGAGGCTCTGCCCATACCCCACTGGCTGGGTGGGCCACGCCTACCTGTGCTTCAGGCCACACCAGGACCACCCCATCTCCGCAGGGTCCCCTACTTGTCCCTCAGATACCTGGCCTTATCACCCTCCCATGTCCGGGTACACCAGTGATGCACTCGCTGCTGGCCCTGCCCCACCGCGGGCCCGGGGAGGGGTGGGGTAGTTGGAGCTGCGTTCCAGGATGAAGCAACCCCGGCGGGGCTCCAGGAGGAAAACACTCTTCCCCGGGGTCCCCAAGCCCATCTGGGGGTCTCAAGTTGATCCCGTCGGCAGGGATGGGCTCGGGGGAAGCCAAGCTCGCTGGCCCCAGGGTTCAGAGCAACAGGTAGGTCTGAGGCCTGGTAGGGGACGTGGGCAGGATGCCCCATGTGTGCGTGTGCCCTCAGCCCCACGCTAGCCCTGCAGGGCCTGGGGGCCACCACACCGCAGCCTGGGCAGAAGAACCTGACACCACCACACACTGCCCTTATTACTGAGATCTGAAGATGAGAAAGACCTCTTCATTAACGTGAAGAGCAGAGTGAGATTTTCCATCCACTGGTTCACACCCCAAATGGCCGCAACAGCCGAAACTGAGCTGATCAGAACCCAAAGCCGGGAGCCCCATGCAGGTGCCCCATGTCAGTGCAGGAGCCCAGCCCTTGGGCCGCCCCCTACTACCCCCTCAGGCATACCGACAGGGGCAGGACCAGGCTCAGCCCCTCCCCAGCCAGCATCCCCCCAGAACCTCTGAGACAGTCCCAGCATCCGGTCACATGACACAAACAGGTGGGCCGGGTTGGAGGGGCAACAGGACACACAGGCCCCACACTGCAAGAGGCTGCCCGCCCCTCTGGGCCCCCCGCTCAGCTGCCCACACAGCTGCAGAGAGCAGCGCCCAGTGCAGCTTTGGGAAGGCAGGGGGCTGTCGGTGACCCTGTGAGGGGTGGGGGGCTGCCCTCATGACCCCACACCTCAGTGGGATGCCCCAGCAACCCCATTGGATTCTGGCCCCAGGGAGGGAGGTGAAAGAGCAGCTGGCACAATGTGTGAGCTGTCCGTGTGAGCAGGGGCCTCCCTTGGGCAGCTGCTCTCACACCGCAGTCCTGGCCTGGCCTGGCCCAGTTGTGCCCCGTGCCAGCCCAGCAATGGGTCCCACCCGGCTTCTTCCTGTCCAGGTGACTCATGGCATGGTGGGCAGACAGGGGCCGTGCCCAGTGCAGTGTGGCCAGACCTGGCCCTCACCGATTATGCCAGGGGTGGGAAGGGCAGAGGCCCAGCGAGGCGCGTGCCTACGAGCAGGGCAGGGGCCCAGGGACAGACTGGGAGTCGCCACCCTGGGGGCTACTGGCCTGGCGTGGGAAACATCTTTCCTGACGGATCCTGTGCCAGGTCGGGAGCCAAGGGCCCAGGCGCCCCTTTCTCCACAGGAGTGGGTGGACAGAGCAGAGTGGGCTTTTGTGTGACTGCTATTGCCAGCGTCCATGCCCGGGGGGTGCACGCACCCCAGACCCTTAGGCCACAACTGCTCCCCACTGCCCACCAGGGCTATGCGGCCCGGGTTCCACTCACCTCAGGGCCCTGGGCCATGTTCCCCGGCCCTGGCGCTGGGACCCTTGCTTGGCCTGGTGCCCAAGAGCCAGGCACAATGTGCAGTGAGCTGCTGTCCCAGTGTCCCCTACCTCTGAGAGGACAAGATGCAGGAAACCTGGGCTGGGCTGGCGGCGGGGAAATGGCGACCCCAGGAGTCTTCACCCCTCACGGGCTCCATCCTGGGTGTGTCCTTGGTGACACATGGCACAAGAAACACTACCGTGGGGTGCCCTGGCTGAGGATGGGAGACTGAAGCTCACCCAGGGCCGCGTTCCAGTGCTGACCTTGACCTCACCCTGCCGCTGAACCCCCCCACCACATTCCCCTCAAGAAGCCCTGCCAGGGCCCTGCCACTTCCTGGCAGCGCCCATGTTGGGGGTCTTCCAGCCGAGCGGCTCCCGGGCCGCAGAGGGTGAGGGCGCTGTTGCTCCGTACAGGGCGGGGTGGGCCACCGGCAGCCCCTGCTCCCCAGCCAGCTGCTGCTCCGGGGTTGAGCCCTTGCCCAGCCGGCCTCTTCCAGGCCCTCGGGAACAAGAGGAGGAACCCACCCCGCCGGGAAGTCCAGCCCCAGCCCTGGTGTGTCCCCCGCCGTCTGACCTTGGACAAGCCCAGCCCCCCAGCCTTGCCCCTCGCAGTCCTGCCACCGCTTCACCCCTCCCCGCCAGGAGAGAGCAGGCCAAGCCGGTGCAGGGCTGTGGGTGCTGCGGGCCAACCTGACCCACATGGGGCACACCCCGAGAGAAGGCCCCAGTCCAGGTCGGGAGTGGGGCACAGCTCACAGCAGAAACCCGTAGAACATCTGGACTTCCTGTGTCCACAGAGACCTGTGTGAAAAACTGCCGGTTCCCGAAGCCTGCACGTGCAGTCACACCAGGGGAGACTCGCTGTCCAGGGGCACCTTGCTGTGCACGTGGCTCAGACATCCACACACTGCAGGAGTGTGCGCGTGGCTCACACATCCACACACTGCAGGAGTGTGCACGTGGCTCACACATCCACACACTGCAGGAGTGTGCGCGTGGCTTGGACATCCACATGCTGCAGGAGTGTGCACGTGGCTCACACATCCACACACTGCAGGAGTGTGCACGTGGCTCACACATCCACACACTGCAGGAGTGTGCACGTGGCTCACACATCCACACACTGCAGGAGTGTGCGCGTGGCTCACACATCCACACACTGCAGGAGTGTGCGCGTGGCTCAGACATCCACACACTGCAGGAGTGTGCGCGTGGCTCACACATCCACACACTGCAGGAGTGTGCGCGTGGCTCACACATCCACACACTGCAGGAGTGTGCGCGTGGCTCACACATCCACACACTGCAGGAGTGTGCACGTGGCTCACACATCCACACACTGCAGGAGTGTGCACGTGGCTTGGACATCCACATGCTGCAGGAGTGTGCATCAGTTTCAAAAACCTTCATCAGAGTAAGTTGATCTTCAGATTTCACATGAGCATTGACATGGTTGTGGATGGCAACATTGCACTCAAACATGCATGTACTCACATGCTCACGTGGCTGCACATGGCGGTGTGTGGCTGCACATGGCGGTGTGTGGCTGCACATGGCGGTGTGCAGCTGCACATGGCGGTGTGTGGCTGCCTGTGTGAGGACTGTACAGGATCTGGACATAAAAGCAGGGTGCCTGATATTCCCTGTACAGATGCTGGGAGCAAAGCTGTGCCAAGAGTCTCGCTCATGGTTCACATGCATTCCATTGGGGCTCACACCTTCCCAGAATCCTTATGGGGCTCACTCCCCCAGCACTCCCTGTGGAGCTCACTCTCGCACCATTTTTGTGGGGTTCACTCTCCCAGCATTCCACTTGGGGTTCATCCTCCCAGCATTCCACTTGGGGTTCACCCTCCCAGCATTCCACTTGGGGTTCACTCTCCCAGCATTCCATGTGGGGTTCACCCTCCCAGCATTCCATGTGGGGTTCACTCTCCCAGCATTCCATGTGGGGTTCACTCTCCCAGCATTCCATGTGGGGTTCACTCTCCCAGCATTCCACTTGGGGTTCACTCTCCCAGCATTCCACTTGGGGTTCACTCTCTCAGCATTCCATGTGGGGTTCACTCTCCCAGCATTCTACTTGGGGTTCACTCTCTCAGCATTCCACTTGGGGTTCACTCTCTCAGCATTCCACTTGGGGTTCACTCTCTCAGCATTCCACTTGGGGTTCACTCTCTCAGCATTCCACTTGGGGTTCACTCTCCCAGCATTCCACTTGGGGTTCACCCTCCCAGCATTCCACTTGGGGTTCACCCTCCCAGCATTCCACTTGGGGTTCACTCTCCCAGCATTCCATGTGGGGTTCACTCTCCCAGCATTCCATGTGGGGCTCACTCTCCCAGCATTCCACTTGGGATTCACTCCCCCAGCATTCCATGTGGGGTTCACCCTCCCAGCATTCCACTTGAGTGATGTGAGGTTCACCCTCCCAGCATTCCACGTGGGGTTCACCCTCCCAGCATTCCACTTGAGTGATGTGGGGTTCACCCTCCCAGCATTCCATGTAGGGTTCACTCTCCCAGCATTTGATGGGGGTTCACCCTCCCAGCATTCCACTTGGGGTTCACTCTCCCAGCATTCCACTTGGGGTTCACTCTCTCAGCGTTCCACTTGGGGTTCACTCTCTCAGCGTTCCACTTGGGGTTCACTCTCTCAGCGTTCCACTTGGGGTTCACTCTCTCAGCATTCCACGTGAGGTTCACTCTCCCAGCAGTGTATGTCCCAGGCCAACTGCAGCCCTGTGGAACTTGACCTGAGCCCCCTTCCCCTGTGAGCTGAGCCCCCGGCACTGGCGGGAAGGGTGGGCTCCTCTAAACCCCGCACTCAGCTGCTCTGCAGATGTTTCTGGGGGACAAGCAGCCAGGAAGGAGGGGAGGGGCGCTGCTGTGACTCACCCAGCCAGCCCCTCCCCTGCCCCTCCCCACCCCATCCCTCCCTCCCTCTCTCCCGGCTGGGCTGGGCCAGGCTGCAGACTCCCGCTTGCCAGCCTCAGCGTCCCACAGGCGTCCGCGGTGACTGCAGGCCGCCGACATGAGGCTGGCCCATGCCCTGGTGGTCCTGCTGCTGCAGGCTGGCTGGGGGGCCGCACAGGACCTCCCGGAGGTTCCAAAGGCCATCGCCTTCCAAGGTGAGTGGACGGCTGCCTAACTGAGCTGTTTCTCACAGCCAGGACACAGCGCCTGGGCTCAGGACCCCCGCCCAGGGGCCCTGTCCACTCCGACTCAGCCCTCTCTTCCAGAGCCCGTGTTCAGTTGCCCCAGCATCCCTGCTGGAGTGTGGGCATTTTCCAGGGAGTTGGGCCAGGGAGTCTGGGAAGGATCCACTGGTGGGTCAGTTTCCTGGCCCTGTGTTAACTGTCTGGCCACGCCAGACAGTCAGCCTAGGAGCTCGGCTTCATGCAGGTTCCAAACCCAACAGGAAGAGCACAGACAGCAAGGTGTCCCTGGGACCCTGTGGGAGGGGGACCCTGAGTGGGACCTGCCAAGGGGATGCTTCCCGGGGAGGAGGCCGACACCACACAGGGCACCCTGCAGGAGGCTCTCTGGGAGGACTCCGCCTGGGGAAGGCTGGTGCAGATGCCTTCCCAGTGCTCTAGGGCTCGGGTCCTTGCTGGCTGTGGGCAGACACTGCCCCTCGGCCCCTGGGTGGTTGGGTGGCCCTCATCTGGTAGGAACAAGCGTGGCTAAGAGGCTCACGGCTCTGTCCTGCTTGGTACAGACTGCCCTGTGGACCTGTTCTTTGTGCTGGACACCTCTGAGAGTGTGGCCTTGAGGCTGAAGCCCTATGGGGCCCTGGTGGACAAGGTCAAGGCCTTCACGAAGCGCTTCATCGACAACCTAAGAGACAGGTGGGTCATGCGGGCTGGGGGATGTCGGAAGGAGGCATCCCTGCTGTCGGGTCCCGCGGCCCCTCCCTGTTTCCTGCAGAGCGAGCAGGGTTTGAGGCAGTCCAGTCAGCAAGCAGTGGCCAGCAAGCCAAGAGGCCAGTGCCGGCACACGTGGGCCCAGGGTCTGTGTGTTGCAACCCAACACACGGCTCCCGGCCTACTCCTACACTGGACAGAGGGAGCGGGCTTGGGGAGCCGGTCCCACCCCCCACTGCCCATGCAGACCCCAGAGCTGCTACCTAGGGGACACGGTGTTCTTGCAGCCCCCCACACCCCACAGCCAGGAGCCCCAGCAGTGAGTCTGGGCTTGCGGCATGGCCTCCTCCACTCACTCACTCATTCCTTCTCTCCATCTTTGGGGGCCCCTCCACGGATGTGGCCAATGACCAGACAGACACGGGGACACTGTAGGGCAGAGGCAGCTGCCTGCCTCGTCTGCAGTCTGCTCGATGGGGCAGGTGTCAGGGGCCTCGGAATGCCACCTGGCAAGTGGGCAGGCAGCCCCCGGCCCCCAGCAGAGGGACCCTAAGTGGGGAGGAGGAGGGACCCCAACATCCCTCAGCACTGGCCTTCCCCTCACTGCTTGGCCTCGGCCCCACTGAGGAGCCTCATCCAGGTCAGGGTCTCAGGCAGCTCCTGCCCCCACTCCACATGGCTCCTGCCCCCACTCCACATGGCTCCTGGTGCTCCCCACTCTGTGTGGTTCCTGCTGTCTCCCCACTCCACGTGGCTCCTCCTGTCCTCCCACTCCACATGACTCCTTGGTGCGCCCCATCCCATGGTTCCTGCTGTCCCCCCACTTCACACGGCTCACAGCCCTCGGCTCACAGGTACTACCGGTGTGACCGCAACCTGGTGTGGAACGCAGGCGCACTGCACTACAGCGACGAGGTGGAAGTCATCAGCGGGCTCACGCGCATGCCCGCCGGCCGCGACGCGCTCAAGGCCAGCGTGGATGCTGTCAAGTACTTCGGCAAGGGCACCTACACTGACTGTGCCATCAAGAAGGGGCTGGAGGAGCTGCTGGTCGGGTGAGTGGCCAGGTCACCTCCTGGCCAAAGGACACTGTCCTCCCCTGTCTGGCCACCGTCTCCTCACAACCATGGGCTGGCCAGGAAGGCTGAGGGGGCAGCTGGGCCCTCAGTGATAGCCCACAGGGAGGCACTGTGTCCCAGCAAGGCCAGGGCCGGGAGTGCCGGCCTGTTGCCCCCTGTGCCCAGCATGTCCACGGGAGTCTGCTTTGACCCCTGCCAACAGGTGGCCACGCCATGTCTGCCGTAGTTGGCAGCCGTGGAGCCATGGGTCCTGGCCCTGCCCTGGGAGTCCCCAGGTTACCCTCCACATGGGGCCTGGCTGTCCACAACTCCCAGGGCTCCTGGGTGGGTGAGTGGCTGGGGTCTCACTCTGCCTCCCTCCCCCAGGGGCTCCCACCTGAAGGAGAACAAGTATTTGATCGTGGTGACCGACGGGCACCCCCTGGAGGGCTACAAGGAGCCGTGCGGGGGCCTGGAGGATGCCGTGAATGAGGCCAAGCATCTGGGCATCAAAGTCTTCTCCGTGGCCATCACGCCTGACCACCTGGTAGGGTGCTGCCCACCTCCTGCCTCTCGCCTGCCTGAGGGACCCCACTGTCCAGCTCACCTCCCGCCTACACACAGGGCCCCCGCACCCCACCTTCCACCAGCATGGGGCCTCTCAGCCGCCTGCCCGCCCTACCCCGGGGGCCTTTGGGGCCACTGTGCTAACTTCTGGGCCATGGTCCCTGGTGGGTCAGGCCTGAGGGCTCAGGGTTAGGCCTCACACCTGGTTGGGCCCTCAGGAGCCGCGTCTGAGCATCATCGCGTCCGACCACACCTACCGACGCAACTTCACCGCGGCAGACTGGGGGCAGAACCGCGATGCCGAGGAAGCCATCAGCCAGACCATAACCACCATTGCTGACATGATCGTGAGCGCGGCTGGGCCGGGCAGAGCAGGGGAGAGGGGCAGGGCTGGCGGAGGGTGGAAGTGGGGTGGGGCAGGGCAGGGTGAGGTGGACCTAGAGCAGGGTAGGGCATTGCCAGGCGGGACCCAGTGACAAGGCTTTTCTCTTGTGTTTTTCAGAAAAACAATGTGGAGCAGGTGGTAAGAGCCCCAAGCCCTCAACCCCGTGCCTGGGTCCAGAGGACGGGGAGTGCCAGAAGCTGCACCTGTGGGGGCTGAGGGTACCAGGGGCTGGGTGCAGGGTGCAGCCTACTGGACGCTGACCACTCTCTTTGCCTTCCCCAGTGCTGCTCCTTTGAGTGTCAGGTGAGTGGCCCACAGCCCCGTCCCTAGGCGCCGTGGCCCCTGTCTGGGGTCTGGGGTCTGGGGTCTGGGGCTGACTGTTCCACCCCTCCGCTTTACAGCCAGCCAGAGGGCCCCCAGGACCCAGAGGAGACCCCGGGTACGAGGTGAGTGGACACCCCTGCCATGCCCCCGGAGGGTGGAGGCAGGTTCACCATCGTGGCCGTCCATGTACACTGACCAGGAAGACCCTGAGCCTCCACGGACGCAGCCGTGTCCAGGGAGCGGCTGAGGGAGGCCCACGCTCAGGAGTGGCCGCCCAGCCCCTTTCTGGTTATTGGAGGGGAGTGTTGGGAGGGGTGGCCTGGGGCAGGTGTGACTCCACAGAGCTGATCCCCACGTGGCTGAGAACCACGCACCCCAAGACCAGGAGACCCCATGAACTCGGTGAGACAGTGCTTGGGACAGCCTGGAGTGGCCACAACCTTGAACTGTATGTTGCAGGGAGAACGCGGGAAGCCAGGGCTCCCAGGAGAGAAGGGAGAAGCTGGAGACCCCGTGAGTGCTTGGCTAATGGGGTGGGGAGAACCTGGATCTGCAGAAGCTTCCAGAACAGCTATCTGCTGAGCCAAGGTCACAGGGCTGTCCTCTGTGGGCAGGGGCATTGGCATGGCCACTCTGCCACTACCCTGCCTCACCCCTGCTGACTCCCCATCGATTCCCACTACCCCTCCCCAGCTCCTCCCATCCCTTGGCGGGGCAGGGGGTGGGGGGTTGTGGGCTCCTCCCAGCAGGCCCCTCCCTGTATGGACCTCTAACCCCCTCTGTGTTCCAGGGAAGACCAGGGGACCTCGGACCTGTGGGCTACCAGGGCATGAAGGTGCGTCTCGTCCCGGGGTAAGGGAGCGGGGAGGGTCAGGGTCCCTGCCTGGCGCTCACGGAGCCCCCTCCTCTTGTACAGGGAGAGAAGGGCAGCCGAGGGGAGAAGGTAAGTAGGGCACGGCGTGGACACGCAGCGGTGCGGCCTTTCCTGTCCACTGTGTCCACGATGGGGAAGCTGCGTCCGCCCCTCACCACGCGTCAACGCAGGCCCGGTGGCCCACCATCACTACCCCCCACTGCCCTTGTCCCCATGGCCACTGGCAGTGGATGCTATAGAGCGTGCCCCTCCTCTCACTGACTGGACAGAACAGACGGGGGCGGGGGAGGGGTCTGGGGGCCTGGGTCCACCCTGACCCTCCCCTCTGTCCCCACAGGGCTCCAGGGGACCCAAAGGCTACAAGGTGAGTGTGGGGTCAGAACTGGGGGGAACTTCTGGGTGGTACTGGCTGATCTCCCTCTGAGCCTGTCTTCAACTCTGAGCAGGGCGAGAAGGGCAGAAGAGGCATCGACGGTGTGGACGGCATGAAGGTGACATGGGGGGGTGTGGCAGGCAGCAGGGCAGGGCTCCTGGTGGGGACTGCTAGGGGTGGGGACCCTGGGGCAGGGCTCCTGGGGCACCTGGGGCAAGGCATCCTGGGGTGGAGCCTCCTGGGGTGGGTCTCCTGGGGTGGGTCTCCTGGAGGCAGGGCTCCTGGGGTGGACCCTCCTGGGGTGGACCCTCCTGGGGCGGACCCTCCTGGGGCGGACCCTCCTGGGGCGGACCCTCCTGGGGCTGGACCCTCCTGGAGCTGGACTCCTCGGGCGAGGCATCCTTTGGGCAGGAGCCAGAGGTCCGGCCAGGTTCTCTCCTTGAGGTTGTTCTCTGTCTCATTCCTGCCATGCCTTCCTCCTTCCAGGGAGACGCAGGGTTTCCTGGCTTGCCTGGCTGCAAGGGTTCCCCTGGTTTTGATGTAAGTCCCCGCAGCCCAGCACCGTGAGTCTCCGGTGGAGCTCAACCCTGCCCCCTCCATTGTTGTCATGCGGCATCCAGGCCCACTGTGACTGCCTTGTGTACCACCCCTCACAGGGAGTTCAAGGACCCCCCGGCCCCAAGGGCGATGCTGGCGCCTTCGGACTAAAAGGAGCGAAGGTCAGTGGCTCATGGCCCCCGAGGGCCCGGCCAGGGGTCTCCTCGGCACCACCCAGCCCTGGGCAGCTTTTCCCGCTGTGGCTGTGCTGATGCCACGGCCTCTGAGCTCACCACCATGCTCTCTCCCTGTGGCCAGACCTCACTGCCTGGCTCCCCACTCCCCCTGCACAGCGCCCTGACCACCCCACCCACTCCAGGCAGCAGGCTGGCTGCTTTACCCTGTGCTATGACATCTCTCCAACTCTCCAATGCCCACCACCCCGCCACAGGCCAGGGCCGCGGCAGACAGGCCAGGACCATGGCAGACAGGCCAGGGCCACAGCCCCGCCACAGGCCAGGGCCACAGCAGACAGGCCAGGGCCGCGGCAGACAGGCCAGGGCCGCGGCAGACAGGCCAGGGCCACAGCAGACAGGCCAGGGCCGCGGCAGACAGGCCAGGGCCACGGCAGAAAGGCCAGGGCCACAGCAGACAGGCCAGGGCCGCGGCAGACAGGCCAGGGCCACGGCAGACAGGCCAGGGCCACAGCAGACAGGCCAGGGCCACGGCAGACAGGCCAGGGCCACGGCAGACAGGCCAGGGCCGCGGCAGACAGGCCAGGGCCACGGCAGAAAGGCCAGGGCCACGGCAGACAGGCCAGGGCCACAGCAGACAGGCCAGGGCCGCGGCAGACAGGCCAGGGCCACGGCAGAAAGGCCAGGGCCACGGCAGACAGGCATGGGCTCTCGTCCAGCTCCCAGCAGAGTTCTTGCTTCCTGTGAGCCTGTGGCTCTGCTCAGTGTCCACAGGCCATCAAGACACGATGAACCACACTCATTCCTCCACGAACACCCACTCACAAACACCCACACTGCTGCACAAACACCCACTCCACAAACACCCACACTAATGCACAAACACGCACTCCACAAACACCCACACTAATGCACAAACACCCACTCCACAAACATCTACACTGCTCCACGAAACACTCACTCCACAAACACCCACTCCACAAACATCTACACTGCCCCAGGAACACCCTCACTTCACAAATCACCCTCACTGCCTCACAAACATCCTCAATGCTCCACGGACACCCATTACATGAACATTCTCACTCCTCCGTTAACACCCACACTGCTCCATGAACACCCACTCCATGAACACCCACACTGCTCCACGAGCACCCACACTGCCCCCACGAACGCCCACACTCGTTCACAAGCCCTAGCAGAAGAGATTGGAGGCCAAGCCTGTAACGTGGCTCCTAGGTGGCTATCCCAGCTGTGGCCCATGCCGTCACAGCATCTGGAAGCAGCAATTTCATGCTGCAGACAAAGAATAAGCTGCCATATGACCTCAGGGGATGTCCTTGACCACGTGCGCAGGCAGGCTGTGGAGAATTCTAGAAGCTTGGATCAACACAGAGGGCAGAGTCTGGGACCCCTCTCCCATTCTGGGAGGCCCCATGCCCATGGACCTCACTTTGAGGCACCTTGAGACTGAGCCTGCTCCAAGCTGGCCTTCTGCTTGGGACCCTTTCTGGATTTTCCTCAGAGGCAGGATGTGCCAGGGACGGCAGCGGAATCTTCTGGAAGCCAGCTAAGGGCTTTGCCGCCTCATCCTCAAGTTGGCCGATGACACTGCTGGCCACAGACTTGAGTTTCCCAATTCAGCTGCCTGGCAATTGGCTGGGCTTCATGGCATTTGGCGACAGGTTAAGGTGTCGCACAGCGCTGGTCAGCATGGCCTCAGGTCTGGGTGGGAAGGGTGGGCCTGGCCCCAGAGGGCCCCGACAGCCGGCACCCAGGCTGCACCCAGAGTGCCAGCCTCTGACCCTTGACCTTTGCCAGGGTGAGCCTGGAGCCGATGGGGAGCCTGGGAGACCTGGAAACACTGGGCCGCCCGGAGATGAGGTGAGGGCAGCTGGGCAGGACGCCTCGGGGGTGCCCAGGCCGTGGGTCACCAGATGAGGCCCAGGAGCTGACCACCATTCTGCCGTGTCCCTCCCAGGGTGATCCGGGAGAGCCTGGTCCCCCTGGAGAGAAGGGAGAGGCTGGTGACGAGGTGAGTCCCCCAGCCCGGCCTCTGCCCCTCGCTGAGCTGAACCCGCTCCCCTGGACTAACCGGCCTCTGCTCCTCCCACTGCCAGGGCAATGCAGGACCTGATGGGCCTCCCGGAGACAGGGTGAGTCCAGCCACCCAGCCCCTCCGTCCCCTGGAGCAGGACATTGAGCCCCAGTCCTGCCTCAGCTGAGGACAGCCTGTGACAATGGACGGTGTTTGAGGGTCATGGCTGGAGAGTAGCCTGGGAGCAAGCCCCCAGCTGCTCTGGAGTGGCCTCACCCCACTTCTCTGTACACAGGGCGGCCCTGGAGAGCGAGGACCCCGGGGAACCCCAGGTGTGCGTGGCCCGAGAGGAGACCTGGTGAGTGACACTGAGGAAGGAGTGATTGGCAGAGACACAGGTGTCAGATCCAGAGGCCCCGGCCGGTCCTCCTCTGCCCAGGCCGGTCCTCCTCTGCCCAGGCCGGTCCTCCCCTGCTGCTCCAGCCAGTCCTCCCCTGCTGCCCCAGTTGGTCCTCCCCTGCCCCGGCCGGTCCTCCCCTGCCCCAGCTGGTCCTCCCCTGCCCCAGCCAGTCCTCCCCTGCCACGGCCAGTCCTCTCAGCCACTGCCCAGAGTGGAGGCAGCCTCCCAGCCCAGCCTGGCCAGCTCCTGCCCCAGAGACCCCATGGTCCTTGTCTCAATGGACCAATTGTCACAGCGTCCACAACGACCTTCCCCCATTCCTGTGGGGGGAAGAGCCATGACCCCAGCACAAGTCAGTGTCAGGGCTCAGGTTCAGGGCTTTCCAGGCCCTCTCTCCTTGGGGTCCCCATGCAGGCCCCTGTGCAGGCAGCAGACACTCAGACCTGACCCCTCCTCAGCCCACTCCCCCAAAGGGCTGAGGGCTGCACAGAGCATTCAGGTTGCATACGGGGGTGGAGGAGCCGTGACCTCTTGGGGAACCAGCTGTCACACGAGGGTCTCAGAGATAAGGTGGAGGGAAAGGGTGTGGCCGCCAGCCGCAGTGTGAAGCCGTGGCTGCCAGCTTGACCTGCACCCTCATGGGCGCATGTCTCTCCAGGGTGAAGCTGGACCTCAAGGTGACCAAGGGCGAGAGGGCCCCGTCGGCATCCCAGGAGACCCGGTAGGGAACATGGCTGTGCAGTGAGGATTCAGCCACGGGGTCCCTTGTTCTGGCTCTGGGTCCTTCGTGCAGTTCCACCACCCTGGATGGAGGGGCCGTTGGAGCCAGCCTGGGAGCCCAGGGTGGCTGCCTCAGGAGGGGGGTGGCTGCCTCGGGACGGGAGTGGCCGGCTTGGGAGGGGGGCGGCCAGGCTGGATGGGCAGGGTAGGGTGGATGCTGGCCAGCTCCTACAGCTGTGGTCCCCACAGGGTGAGGCCGGCCCCATGGGACCTAAAGGCTATCGAGGCGACGAGGGCCCCCCAGGGCTGGAGGTGAGCATCATTTCATTGCCCCCACTCCCAGCCCCTGCCTGCCTGGTGCTGGCCCCACATGATCCCAGCCCGACCCCACCTCCAGGTACCTCAGCCCCAAAGGTATTGTGCCCCTGATACTGCACCCACTGTGACACAGCTGTCCCCTCCCCCTTCTTAGGGTCCCCGAGGAGCCCCAGGACCTGCTGGACCCCCTGGAGACCCAGGGCTGATGGGCGAGCGGGTGAGTCGCCACACTGGCCTGGGGAGCAGGACCCAGCCTGTTGGGAGGCAGCGCAGCGGGTCCCTTCTGGCCCCTGTCCAGTGCAGAGAGGGCTGCGGGGACTGGCTGCAGGAACTGCCTCCCAGGTTGCCTGGACCTGGGCTGCCCGAGCTGCAGCGGCATAGCCCTCCAGTGACAGGGACCCTGCTTTCTCCCCAGGGCGAGGATGGCCCCCCTGGAAATGGCACCGAGGGCTTCCCTGGTTTCCCTGTAAGTCATCCCCAGGCTCTCGAGACCCCTGGAGACCTGTGCCCCCATTCAGGGCTCCCCTGGGCACTCAGGGCTGGAGGGTGGACCTGAGCCAGGAACCTGGGGAGCCCCGACCTCTGACCTTGTGCCAGTGCCTGGTGTAACTTCCCCTCTGCACCCACAGGGCTACCCAGGCAACAGGGGCCCCCCTGGGATAAACGTAAGTACCCCTCCCTCTGCACTCAGCCCCAGCCGTGTGAAAACAATTCACCCACGAGCATACCCACCGCGCCCCTGCAGACACGTGTGCACACATGCTCACACATGGAGACACGGCTCCTGCACACATGTGTATGCACATATGTGCACACATGAAGATGGGTGCCTGCACACATGGTGGCCCCAGGTCAACCACTCCCACGCCTTCCTCTGTGGACCCTGCCACTGCTGACCTTCCCGCCACCCGCAGGGCACTAAAGGCTACCCGGGCCTCAAGGGAGACGAGGGTGAACCTGGAGACCCAGGAGAGGACGTGAGTCAGGGGCAGGCAGAGCCATGGCACGGTGTGTGGGGTACGGGCTGTGGGGTCTCGGGAGGCTGTGATATCCATTGTGAGTGAGTGGACACCGTCCCCCATGCTGGGCACTGACCCACAGCTAGATGAAATGGGCAGAGCCACGGACACAGTGGATGTGTGGGCTGTGAGTGGACTCTGGTCCCCATGCTGGGCACTGACCCACAGCTAGTTGAGATGGGCAGAGCCACGGGCGCAGTGGGTGTGTGGGCTGTGAGTGGACTCTGGTCCCCATGCTGGGCACTGACCCACAGCTAGTTGAGATGGGCAGAGCCTCGGGCACAGTGGATGTGTGGGCTGTGAGTGGACACTGGTCCCCATGCTGGGCACTGACCCACAGCTACCTCCTTGCAGAACAATGACATCTCACCCCGTGGTGCCAAAGGGGCGAAGGGTTACCGTGGCCCCGAGGGCCCCCAGGTAGGTTGGCATAGCCAAGGGCAAGGCAGGCACCCCCACATGGGGGATGGGCTGGTCACCAGGGTAGGATGACTGCTGTGGGCAACACTGCCCAGTGCAGTCTGAAGGCCCCAGCTTGGAGGCCCTGCCCATGCAGCCGCTGCAGGTCTGTAGGCCCTTGAGGGGGAGTTGACAGGGTGGGGGGCTGACAGAGGGGGAGCTGACGGGGGGGGGAGCCGACGGGTGGGAGAGCTGACCGGGTGGGGAGCCGACGGGGTGGGGGAGCTGACGGGTGTTGAGTTTGGAGACTTGCTGAGGACCAGGGGTACTGGGGAGCCACGGACACCTGTTCATAGCCCTTCTTGTTCCTTCTCTGGCAGGGACCCCCAGGACACACAGGACCTCCTGGACCAGACGTAAGTGGACATCAGTGAACACTCCCAGGGACTGAGCTCAATTGCCCACACCCTGCACACAAATGGGGCAGCTGCAGACGGAGTGCTGGGCCTCCCACGGGAACATGTGATGGTCAGGGGACACATGATGGCCACAGGGGACACATGAAGGCCGCAGGGGATGTGTGATGGCCACAGGGATGTGTGATGGCCACAGGGACATTCGATAATGATGGGAAATGCGTCGTGAAGGACAGGTGACTGCCATGTGCTGATGAGCAGCTCAGGTGCCCAAGCTTATGGCCAGGCCAGGCCAGGCAGGGCCCAACAGGCACTGGGAAGGGCTCCCAGTGCAGACCCAGGCCTGTGGGGACCTCGGAGGGACAGCTGCAGGCCAGGCCAGGCAGGGCCAACATGCTTGTTCTCTCTGCAGGAGTGTGAGATCCTAGACATTATCATGAAGATGTGCTGTGAGTGGCGAGGCCTGCACCGGCTCTGGGTGGGACTGGCCGGGGCTTGGGGTGGAGTCAGGAAGTGGGACCAGCCCAGGGAGGAGTGTGCCCCCCCTTACCAGCAGGAGGCTGATTTGGGCCGTGGGCGGGGAGGGGAAGAATGCCCCGGGCACTGACCACCTCTCTCTCTCCTTAGCGTGTTGTGGTGAGTGCTGTGCTGCAGATGGTGGACACAAGCAGCCCCTCGGTGCCCACCACTCCACTCTGGCCAGTCTACACCCCCTCGCGCCATCCTGAGCCTGGGGGGGTTGCTGTCCATGCCACTGTTCTTTCCCCAGAACCCACCTATCAGCAGGTGCCGACCCCCGCTAACTCCTCCCCTCTCCCGTCAAAGCTCTCCAGGCTGCCCAGGAGTGGGTGGCAGACAGCGGGAGGGGGCGGTGAACGGGGTTGAGGCTGAGGCTGCCTGGTCCCACCCCACCCCCAGAGTGCAGGTGTGGCCCCATTGACATCCTCTTCGTGCTGGACAGCTCTGAGAGCATAGGCCTGCAGAACTTTGAGATTGCCAAGGACTTTGTTATCAAAGTCATCGACCGGCTGAGCAAGGACGAGCTGGTCAAGGTGGGTTGTAGAGCCTCCTGCACCCCGGCCAATACAGTACAATCTGCAGCCCCCAGCAGGTCCCTGCCTCTCGGGCCATGGCAAAGCTCCGGCCTGACCACGTGTGGACAGTGTCGGGGAGGGGTCAGGTTGCAGAGGGCGGGTGGGGAGGGAGCCAGGGCCCATAGAGACCCTGGGAGACATATGTGCAGGAGCCCAAGCCGGGCGGCATCCACCCTTGCAGTTTGAGCCAGGGCAGTCGCACGTGGGCGTGGTGCAGTACAGCCACAACCAGATGCAGGAGCATGTGGACCTGAGGAGCCCCAACATCAGAAGCATGCAGGAGCTCAAAGAGTGAGTATGGGCCACGCCCCTCCTGACCAGGCCTCGCCCCTGTGTGACCACGCCTCTCCTCAGCCCTCCCACTCGGACCCCACCCTGCCCACCCTTGCCACCCAGACCCTGCCCTGCATGCTCTACCCACCTGAGTGTGCCCATCACCCCATTGCTGCTACAGGGCCATCAAGAAGCTGCAGTGGATGGCAGGTGGCACGTTCACGGGCGAGGCTCTGCAGTACACCCGGGACCGACTGCTGCCGCCCACACAGAACACACGCATCGCCCTGGTCATCACCGACGGTCGCTCAGACACGCAGCGGGACACCACGCCACTTAGCGTGCTCTGCGGCCCCAACATCCAGGTGGGCACCCCAGGGCCTCCTCCGCCTGAGGAGAGGAGGGGTGTGGCTGGCTGGCGCTGATCGCTCCGGTTCCTCAGGTGGTCTCGGTGGGCATCAAGGATGTGTTCAACACTGGCCCTAGCTCCGACCAGCTCAACGTCATTTCCTGCCAGGGGCTCTCGCCCCAAGACCGGCCAGGCATCTCACTGGTCAAGGACAACTTTGCAGAGCTGTTGGACGACAACTTCCTCAAAAACGTCACTGCCCAGATCTGCATCGGTGGGTGTGGACCAGGGAGACAGAGCCCTCAGCGGTGGCCTCCAGGCCTCAGGACAGAACCCCGCCCTGCTCCAGGGACAGCACCCTGTGGTGGGCATGTGGCCAGTGGGGTAACCCCATGTGGTGGGCACATGGCCAGCAAAGCGGCCCCATATGGTGGGTGCATGGCCAGCAGGGTGGCTCCATGTAGTGGGCGGGCATGTGGCTGGCAGGGTGACCCCACGCAGTGGGCACATGGTTAGCAGGGTGGCCCAATGTGGTGGGCATGAGGCCGGCAGCGTGGCCCAGTGTGTCTGTCACTCCAGGGTCATGGTTTCCCAGTCCCCTGAGAGGCCATGGTGCTGGGTCGGTGTAAGGACGAGATGGTGGGAGCGAGGGGTAGGCCAGGACCCGTGGGTCTCCGTGGGAGGGTCTCCTGGGAATCAGGCGTCTGCAGTGTGCCTGGGCAGCTCTGGTCCCTCTGGTGGGGGATCGTGGCGCAGCGGCCGGCTCACGTGCAAGGGACGTTTCTCTTTACAGACAAGAAGTGTCCGGATTACACCTGCCCAAGTGAGTACCTGTGGGCACAGGGGCTGGGGCTCCGGGAGGGGGAGGCCACTGCTGGCCGGGGCTGGCATCCCCATGAGTGCCCTGTAGGCAAGTCCCTGCTGACCGCCACCCCTCCCACCGGCAGTCACCTTCTCGTCCGCGGCTGACATCACCATACTGCTGGACGGCTCGGCCAGCGTGGGCAGCCACAACTTCGACACCACCAAGCTCTTCACCAAGCGCCTGGCTGAGCGCTTCCTGTCCGCGGGCCGGGAGGACCCGGCACACGACGTGCGTGTGGCTGTGGTGCAGTACAGCGGCCCTGGCCAGCAGCGGCCGGAGCGCGCGGCCCTGCAGTTCCAGCGCAACTACACGGTGCTGGCCGAGGCCGTGGACAGCATGGCCTTCTTTAACGACGCCACCGACGTCAACGACGCCCTCAGCTATGTGACGCGTTTCTACCGCGAGGCCTCGTCGCCCACGGCCACCAAGAAGGTACTGCTCTTCTCTGATGGCAACTCACAGGGCGCCACAGCGGAGGCCATTGAGAGGGCCGTGCAGGAGGCCCAGCGCGCCGGCCTGGAGATCTTCGTGGTGGTGGTGGGCCGCCAGGTCAACGAGCCCCACATCCGCGTGCTGGTTACCGGCAAGACAGCCGAGTACGACGTGGCCTTCGGTGAGCGCCACCTCTTCCGCGTCCCCAGCTACCAGGCACTGCTCCGTGGTGTCTTCTACCAGACCGTGTCCAGGAAGGTGGCTCTGGGCTAGCGGAGCCTGGCTACCGCAGAGGGACAGCAGGGCTGACGCCCCTGGCCACCTCAGCCACCTCAACCCTTCTGAAAGCCGAGTCCACAATGGCAGCGCGTGGGTGGACCTGGCACCTGGTCCCCACGCTCCGGGTGCTTCCTGACCCCCAACCTGGGCCCTCATCTCCTTCATGGTTTAAAACGTCCTCTGATGACCCCATTTCATGTCCCCACTCCCAACCCCAAAGTGGACAACATGCTCAGGCCACAAGATGCAGGCTGCGTGGTTCCCATGGGGGTGGTGGGGGGGCCACCCGCAGCCTGCCTGGGATCACCTTCCTGGAAGGTTCTCGGCACGGGCTCCGGCCGGACCTCAGCGGACTGGGCGGCCTGGACCTGACCCCCGTCTTCAGGCTCTGGAGCCTACGAGTGAAGGTGCTGCCGCAGGAAGGCCCAGTCCCCCGGCAAGCTGGGCTGGGGGCGCCCTCGGCCCGTGTGGGCTCTGGTTCTGCACCCCCCTGTGGCCTCCCCAATGATCACCCATGGGTTCTAATAAAGGTGTTCACTCCCTCCATGACTCCTTCCATGACGGGGACTGCTGTGCCCTTGGGACTCAGGAGGGCATGAGCCCCAGCCCACACCCACAGTGAGACAGCTGCTGCCCACGCATCAGCCATGTCACGCAGGCTCAGGCAGTGTGTCTGAGGTAGAGGCTGGCTGGGCCTGAGCTGCTCACATCCGACATGCATGTGACTCAGCTGCTGAATGAGAGCGGGGAGGGTCCCAGGCGATAGCCCCTCCTGCCGGCCCCAGGGGTCCTGGCCCAGAATGGGGAGAGTGACCAGAACCTTCCTGTGAACTGATGGCTGTAGGCTCAGACACATCCTGAGTGCTTCTGTCTGCCCCCAGGCGGGGACCTTGCTATGGCAGTGGGGGGTTAGGGAGGAGAGGGGTGAACAGCAGAAGGCCCCCTGGGGCGGCAGGGGGACCCCACATAAGGGCCTGCAGCAAAGCCAGCATGGTCCAAGCAGAAGCCAGGAGCCTGCACCATCTGCGTCCACTGCGCGTGGCTGGTGGCCACACCCCGGTCATCCTGCGCTGTGTTCCAGGGCCCTTAACAAGGGCTGCAGGAACAGCAGAGCTGGCACTGGGAGCAGTGCTGCCACAGGGCGCTTGTCACAAGCCTAAACTAGCAGGAAGATGTGTGCTACAAAGAGGGAAGTGTGGAAGCAGGCTGGGTCGGAGTGGAAGGACTGCAAACTGTCCAAAGGGGTGTGTCAGACGAGTTGCTGAAGCTTGCAAAGGGTCGGGGTGCGGGAAGTGGGGGCTCCAGGTGGCCAGGCTGTGCAGCAGTGTGGATATGTGGGACTGGGGCGGCACGGTGGCATAGCAGGTAAACGGTCTGCCTGTGATGCCGGCATCCCGCCTGCTCCAGGTTCCCATCCGGCTCCCAGGGCCGGTCAGGCCAGCAGCAGGAGCCTTGCCCTCCGTCTGGATCTGCCATGTGGTTTGCAGTGGTCCGAGTACTTGAGCACACTACCTTCCCGGGTGCCAAAGCAGGAAGCTAGGTCATAAGTGGGGCACCCAGGACCAGAACCACTCCAACACGGGATGCCAGCATTGCAACGCCAGTGTGCCACAACGCCAGCCGGGCAGCCTTCACAGCCTTAGAGACCAGAACCGAAGCATTTATGTCAACATCACCGCACCATGACTCACTCCGACGTTTAGCTTGCAAGTGTATTTATACGAACGGAGGGACGGAAGGAGGGACTGATTTAAGACCTACATCTTTCAGCTCCCTCCCCAAGTGCATGCTGCAACAGCTGGGGCTGGGCACTCAGCCCAGGGCCCCACGCCCGTGGCCTGCCCATTAACACGCAGGGAGTGAGGAGCCGACCAGGCAGGCACCCCAGCCGGCGCCTTTCCTGCTGCCCTCCCGCAGTCACGGACGGTGCTGTTAACCCAGGAGACGAACGCCGAGTGGTCTCTGGAATGTTCTCTGTGCAAGACGTTTTCTAAACGACTACAGTGATGTTGAAAAGCAGGACAAGGGACTCTGATGACAGATGGGGTGTCGGTGGGGCCAGAAGGGAAGCGGTGTCCAAGCTGCTTGTTAGCAACGAGGAGCCGAGTGTTCCCAGGGCAGGGGGTTGATCGGCATTCCAGCTCTCCTCGCGTGCCTCCTGCCTTGTCCCGAAAAACCTGCTGGAAAGCTGACCCAGGACCACGAGAAGTGGTGTTCCGAGGAAACCGTCTCCTTGCAGGCCAAGTTGGTGCTTCAGCTCTTAACGCAAACCAAATGCTCCTTCGGCAGCCAGCGGCTTTCTGGGAAGCTGTGACAGCCCTGAGGCAGCCCAGCTGCTCCTCAGGGTGCTGGCGAGAAAGGGGAGTCCTCACGCCCTCACCCCGAAGCCTCCTGCACTGGCCCTGGGCGGCAAGGAGGCCGCGCTCTGGCAGGGTCGGGGGCACCAGCCTTGGGCCTGGCTGGTGCCCCCAACAGGAGGCAGCTCCTGGCATAAACCGAGGCACCACACAGCTGTCGGCAGGGGCGCCGCCGCCGTCTGCATCTGTGACTCTCTCAGAGGAAGCCATCCTGCCCGGATCAGGGGTGGGGGGCACGCGGCCCACCCAGCTGTGGGAGCCAGAGGCCAGGCGGAAGGCTGGCCTGGCATACTTCTGGCTGAGCATTTGCTGAGGAATCCAAACTGTGTAGAAACCAAACCGTTAGAGCCCATGTTCAAGATTCAAGGAGAAAAACAATGTGGGCTTTATGCTTCATAAGTTTCCGTTTATGGGGCCGGCCTCGGGCCATACACAGCAGGCGAATCCTCTGTCCTCTAGCGCCTGCACCCCTTAGGGCCACCCATTCATGTCCCGGCTGCTGTACCTCCTATCCAGCTCCGTGCTGACGGCCTGGGAAAGCAGCAGAGAACGGCTCTGGTGCTGGGGCCCTGCACCCACATGGGAGGCCCGCAAGAGGCTCCTGGCTCCTGGCTTTGGATAGCTCAGCTCTGACTTGTGCGACCATTTGGGGAGTGAACCAGCGGATGGATGATCTTTCTCTATCTCACCTTCTCTCTCTGTAAAATCTGCCTTAACAATAATTAACTAGTTAATTAATTCATCAGATGCACCCATCACCCCGCATCCCGCCCCCTGTGCCAGTACAAATATGACGCTGCCTTTGAGACCCTGGGGTGGACACTGACAGACCCAACTGGAGAAAGTTACCTGGGGACTTGGCCACCTTTAGTGACACGTCTGGCTCAGTGCCTGGGGCTCAAGAGGCATCATGAGACACGCTAGAGCAAGTCCTAACCCCGGACCCAGCACTGACCCCGGGGACTGACCCTGGGGACTGACCCCGGGGACAGGACGTGCCTGGACCCCTCAGGCTTCCTCTCCATCTGCACACGGGCGCACCCCTGCTCGCTGGGGTCTGACAAGGCTCCTGCTTGATCTCCAGTCTCCCAGATGGTCCCCAAATGTGGCAAAAGAAGTCAGAGGCAGCTGCAGGGGTGTGTTCACCACCCCCTCAGCGGAAGCAAAGGTGCCAACTCCTCCGGGAAACTCCGGACTCTCAGTGGGCACTCTGCCTGTCAGGCCATGTCAGGACAAATAGGAGGGGGCTGCTGCCTCCTCCAGGAAGGCCTCCCTGGTCAAGTTCCGAGAGCTTCCATGGTGCTGCGGAGGGGGCAGCTACAAAATCAAGGACCAGCCCCAGGCCCGCTGTGGACACGACCTGGGAGGACAAGCCGGAGGGGGGTTGCCTTCCCTGCGTGCCCCACAGGAGGGGAGATAGGCTGCCTCTCTGTGAGATGCAGCAGGTGCCACGACACGGGGGAGGGGAGTTTCCAGTGCTGAGCTCGGTCCTGCCAAGAGCGTCCCAGACAGTGGCACCCGCGGCAGCCCCCGGGGCAGGAGCTGCCGTCCTGCCGATGCCCCGCTCCTGGGCCCAACCGAGTCCTAAGGAGCTCAATGCTAGTTTCAAGGGCAGCTGCCAGGTGCCCCTAACCTAGCTGGGACACCAGGTGCTCATCTCAGCCGCCCTGGGCAGAAGCTGACGAGTGCGAGTCACGTGGTGAGCGCCACGTGCTGACAGCTTTGACAGGATTCCAGGTCCTTCCAGGTTCACAGACATGTGGGACCTGCCTGGTTGGAGCAGGGGAGCCCCCAGCCCTGACAACCCCACCTGAGCCAAGGGGCCTGGGGTGGGCGGGGTGCTTCCCTGCCCTCAACTCACCTTTGCTGACCTCCCAAAGTTGGGACAGATTCGCAGCTCAAGTATCAGAAGCTTTAAAAGGCCCGGCCGCAGGAGATTTTTGGCATGAACAAACGGAAGCGGATGCCCGTTGGGAAGCTTCCGGCACTCCTGCTGGGCACAGAGGTGGGACAGTGTGAGGACTGTGAGCTGAGGCCTGGGGCTTCTCGGGGGGCCCCAAGCTGGTGTTGTGGGCGCAGCTGCTGCAATGGGCAGGAGGACTGGCTAGTTACGTGCGCCCAAGGAAAGAAAAGTCAATATCGTTGGAGATGTAGTTCAATAGAAGTATTCCACGGACAGGACCGTGGGGGCTGGGGTAGTGGTGCAGGAGGTTAAGCCTCTGTCTGTGGTGTCAGCACCCCATACGGTGCTGGTTTGAGTCCCAGACGCTCCCCTTCTAATCCAGTTTCCTGTGAATGTGCCTGGGAAAGCAGTGAGAATGGCCCAAGTGCACCCTCCTGGCAGATCCAGAGCTTGTTGCTGCCCGTGGACGAGGGAAACAGTGGATAGAAAATGACTCTCCTTGCCTCTCCTCTCTCTGTAAAGCTGCCTTTCAAATTTAAAAAATTCTTTTATAAAAAGGATTTATAAATGAACTTAGTCTAATTGATATTGCAAATGTGTTACATCCAATGCTACAAGAACATGCACGATGTTCAAGCTTGCACTGAGCACCTGTCAGGATAGCTAGCTGTACGCTGAGCCGTAAAACAACGCGACTGCAGTGAGATCAGCTCTTCGGTCACAGCAGGTTTGATTAGAAATCAGCAACAAAATTTATCTGGAACATCCTCGGCTATTTGAAAATGAAGCAATACACAAAAGGAAATAGCACAGAATCAAAGAGGATGGAGACACCACAGCTATAAGCAAGGAAGGAAAAGTGCTAAAGTGGATTTCATAAAATGTGGAGCTTTTGGTTTCCACGGAACACCTTCATGTTGGTTAAAATGCAACTCTGTGAATGAATTAAACAAACACAGATCATACATCTGATGAGACTAGGACCCAGAATATACGAGGAACTCTCGCGATTCAACCAAAACAAAGTGGGTAAAGAACTTACTTTTTCTCAAAGAAGGTATGAATGTCCAATAACAAAAGATGGCCCAGCATTGTTAGTTGAACAACCAACTCGTCAAGGACATACGGGGTGAGAATTGCCCCGGGTCCCCTTGGCACTCACTGTGAGGTACAAGGCCGCAGGTGCTCCACGCCCCGGGGCGGGATGCAACAGGTGTAGCCAACATGGGAAAATTCTG